TCTATATTGGCATGGATTTGTTGCCAAGGTGATTTACCACCCACTCGGTTTCCCTTTGAAGCTGTCAGTTCATAAGACAATTTTCCAAGTTGCTGTTTTCCTGAGGACCTCTCCTCGAAGTCCCCAGATTTCAACAAGCTAGGAAAATTATTTTATGCTAAAATTATTTAAGCATAGCAACTAACAATTTTAATTGTGAAACAGAGGTAGAAGCTAATTTTTAACTTAAATTACGGTCCGAGAGTTGCTCTGAACCTAAAGTGCATTTCATCCTGCAGCAGCTGAGCTGTCACTGTGAAGTGAAATTGATAGTATTATTTTATTCTACAGCTGTTGTTTTTTTACCTCAGCTGCTTCCCATAATTCCACAGATGGTAAACATATGTTTATAGCTACATAGGAAAAAAAAAAGGAAGTTATATTAGATTCGCCCATCTTAAATTTTTATTTTATGCAGGCAGTCAGAGCCTCAGAACTCTGGGATATTATATGTTTGTAAATTAATATTTCTACGCGTTAACACTTTGGAAACAGCAGGGTAGCTAATGATATGCTAATGAACTGACAGTTTTTATTGATCATAATGAAAGCTGACAAGTGCCTTACTTTGCTTGATGCATGCTTGAATATTTTACTAACTTTCTTTGGGGCAGAAATATAATTGCTTGTATTTTTTTAATCCTGCTTGAGAGTTTCAGAAATCTTACTTTTTTTCTTAATGTTACTCATTGCAAAAACTTGGGATTTTGCCAGTTTATAAAGAGCACACATCTCTTTCCATATATTTACATGCTCAGCAGGACCTCCCGTTCTTTTTCAGAGCAATTTGTTTCACTGTTTTAGCATATTAAAAAATAGATCTATTTTCCTTAATGTAAACAGAGATCTGCAGGGAAATAAGAGCGTTAAAAAAGAATTAGCATTTTTGTATGTGTTGGAACCATGATAATGTATGTAACAAAAAGCACTGAGTATGATCTTCGCCATTCCAGAAATTTTCTTACTTTCATGATAGTTAGTTAATTGTTGTGTCTCTCCATAAACGAATAGCATTAAAGCGCATTTTGGGCCATTCTCATGTCTATCATAATTCTTCAGTATATCGAAGAGGAAGGAAGGAGGGGATATGATATCCACAAGTCACTGTGGCCAGTTGCTGCCATTTTCCTTATTTATGTTTTTGTTCCATGTCCTTATGTACAGTGATTATTCGACGATCTGTGGAATGAAGTGCTCTGTGGCATAATCAAGGGAGTCAAAGCCTTGCCACTTACAACTAGTGTCTCTTACTAGTTGTAACTCACCTGCTAATGACTAAGCATTTGGAGTTCAGATAAGAAGGAATGGTTTTAGCACAGCAGTGGCAGGAGCAAATGCGGAGCAGACTTAAGGTAGCTTTGTCTGTTTGCTTTGAAGGGAATTTCATGAATTACTTCCTTTGAAAAATACATGCTGACTCTTCAGATTTCTTTGTGTGGCCCAAAAGCAAGATTTGTTTTAGGGCTAAAGAATACTGTTATAATCAGATTAGGAAACCAAAGTAAATGGAACTGAAAGGAGGAAGAGGGTGATGCCAGACACCCAGGGAACCCTCACTCTAGGATGTATCTGATTGCTGTCAGGATCAGAATTATCTGCAAAATTCATTTTATTGCTGGGGAGAACCCTTCCCCCTAAGGCTCCCTCCAAAGAGCTGCTGTAGAAATGAGCTTATTAATGCATTGCTGACTAGGTGATTCATGTCGAAAGACTGTAATTTTCATATCTGCTATAGCAGGCTCTATTGATCCTGCTCCCTGTCTGGGGATTGTATAGTAGGTGCTTGAGAAGTGTGTTAGTATTTTTACTGCATAGCATCACATGTGTACTTGGGCCTCTGTATTTGTTTTCATCTCGGTTGTACAGACCAAGGTGAGGTAAATACAGTGCCAAGGGCAGTTGTTCAAGCGCTTGGCATGGGGCATGCCTGCCTGCCTTGTGTAGAGGAGCGCAGTGCTGATCTAGTGGAGATCTAGTGGCGTTGGTGTAGCATTGCCTAGGCGCAGGGTCTCGGGCACGTCTGCTGGTACCTCCGTGCAGAGCCTTTCACCAGCGCTGGCCGACGCAACTTGCACAGCTGTGTGGCACGCATTATCTCTGTGGGAGAAGTAGGTTTTAAAGAGGGTGAAAAGCAATGGAGGAAATGAAAATGCAGAAGGGGAGAGCTCATGGAATATATGAGCCTTTGTACAGGATGTGGGAGGAGTTCTCTATTTAATAGAGACGTGAGAAGTGCAATAAACAGGGCTTTTGTATTACATCCTCATGGGATGGGCTTGATATTTAGTGCTGCAGGCTTGAATTTAATCTTGTAGCTGGTAATCTGCCTGCGCAGAGGAAGGCTCTTCAAGCTAGTGAGTCCTTACGCTTAACTGAAGCTTTGGTTTTAGTTAGCCAAATGCTTTAATAATAACATAAAGGTGATGGCTGCTTGGGAAGAGAAAAACAGGGAAGATTTTGACCAGTGGCATCTCCCTGTCAAGGCCGAATCCTGATGTCCTTTCACAGAACGTACACTGAAGAACTCCACCCTTTGCCAAAGTGAACCAGGGCCCTGGGCTTCCCCTGGGGAGCTGTGTGTGCTTAATTCTCCTTCTGGCTGTGGTCTTAGAAAGCTCCCAGCAACCTAGACTTAATGCTGAAGGAGGAATAGTCCAAGTTTGTTCATATGTCTTACAATAATTATGACTGTAATAAGTGTTTGCCTATAATGAAGTCTTTCTATCGAAAAAATACATCAGCAAAATTTCTGCTCTTTGAATGTTTACTTCTATATTTGATTGTATTAATTCTGTTTCAGAGGTTTATAGAGTTAGAAGGCATCTATATTGGTGAATTGAAGTTCATAGGTTTTTCCATGGTAACATGCGTTCACAAGACACAAAAATTAGTTGTGTTTCCTCTTCAGCTTGTATTTAAATGCAAATCTATCCAAAAGACAATTGAGCGGTGGGGCTCTGATGCAGCAAACATATTTGAAGTTCAGTATGCACTTTTTTAAAAAAAGGCTGAGGAAAACATCGCTTTGCTCTGGATGATGTCTTGTTAGCTGTGTGATATGGTCTGGTGAAACTTTGTAATCTCATTTACTCTTAGTTGAGCTGGGGAGGCTTAAGCATTGAAATATATTTTTGTGCCTCACCTAATTCTCGCTGATGACTGCCAGCAGAAAGTATGTAAAATGGCTTTCAGGATGTTCCATTTCCAGTGACAGTATTACTTCTCATTATTATGATGGTTTCATTATTCTCTTAGATGAAAAGGTTAATAAATGTATATACTTCTGCAAGAAAGACAGTGTGATCTGATTATGTCTATTAATATTTTCAGTTAATATTTGATCATGAAACAGTAAGCAGGAAATGATACTTGCTGATTTGCCTTCTGCTGTTTTAGCATAAATGTTAAATGTTACTTACTGTACTTTCCAGGCCTCAAGGGCTATCTGAGGCTTATGTTCTATTTACGGATGGAGTTCAACGTTTTGAGCAAGTGACCAGGTCCTTGGTCTGCAAAATTCGCGCTATTGCAATTTAACTGAAAATTAAAATGTAGTCTTATAACCGGGTTGGATGGGGCTTTGGGCAACCTGGTCTAGTGGAGGGTGTCCCTGCCTGTGGCAGGGGGGTTGGAACTAGATGATCTTTAAGGTCCCTTCCAACCCAAACCATTCTAGTATTATATCAAATCAGTAATTTAATTAGATAACAACTGCTGCGATGATAAATTTCCTGTCAAAATAAAGAAATTCTTCTGTGTCTGGGAGGAGATAGAGCCGTGTCACAACATCTGTTTAACAGTCAGCAAATAGCAGCACCCAGAAGTCTCTTGTTTTCCCTTGTTCCTCTCTCTTAGTAACCGTGACATTATTGAAGCTAGTGGATCTTGTGGAGTAAGTACGTTACACAGTCAAAGGTGGAGCAAGACCTTTGTACTGACCTTAAAAGAGCAAACACAAGCTTCAGCATTTTCTAGGCTATTTGAAGGATCTAGGGTTCTTCAGGACCCAGGTGTGCAGGGATACTGGGGCAACCCTTTGTGTCTGCTGCTTCCGTCAGGGATATCCTTGCAAGTCAGGCACAACAGAAGTTGCAGCTGGTACTGGACCTTTTGGTCCTTCCTCTCTCCTGTCCTGCCCGGTTCAGTTTCCCGGCCTCATACAACCTGCGCTAGCTGGCTCTGACCTTGGAGTCCTGATTTCTGCCAGTTCTGCACAGGGGATCTTTCCATCTGTCTGGGTTAGAGAGAGGATTTAATTCGAACTGATTACATCTAACAATTACATGAACTGCCTGTTGAGATGCAAAGCTAGTAGGCTAAACTAAACCAAACAACTGAAGTGTAGGCTCTCACTTACCCCTTGCACTATATACTTCTCTTTTCATAATGTTTGATTTCACAGTCTTATTTGGCGAAATCACTGAAGAGTATTTTGGAAAAGTGTGTCATAGGCTTGAATAATGGATAAAGCAGCTTCCACTGCTTTTTTACCAGTCTCGTCCCATTTTAAGACATTTAAGCAGCTTATATTTGGCGATGGCAAAGGACAAAGCAGTATTATTTCTGTGTTTTATGAAAATTAATATCCAAACACACAGGAAGGTAGGAGGAGTTACTATATTTTGTCCATCTTCACTTATTTTCCTCACGAGAAGAGTGAGCTGGTCAATTTTTTTTGTACCCACTTAAGAAATGACATGTGAAACAACTTGTACAGGTCTAAGTGAATGCTTGTAATCTGTATTACCAGTTTTCTCTTCTTTTACAAAGGGTGTTATTCAAGATGTGAAAGTCATCTTTATACCTAATGGATATATAATGCAGTGTCCTAATCTGAATCGCAGTAAGTAGCAATTTCTTTATTTTCTCTATTTTAGATTTTTTTATACCAATTACTACTTTGTTTTAAAAATAATATTTTCAGTCTTGTCATTTTTGCACGTGCTGACTTCCAGAAGGCAAAAATACTGTGTAAACAGATTGCATTTTATGTTCAGATAAATCAAGTCTGATATGCTGTTGGTTATTTATGGGTTATTGTGTCTTTCCTTCTCTTCTGTTTCTTTTTACTCTTCCTTTATTGAGCATGCCCAACCTGCAGTGATTTCTTAAGTCTGGTGCAAGGAATCATGGATTTGCAAGAACTCCTGGCAAAAATGACTGCAAAAGTAGGTACCTAAGCTTCTTTGTCAATTGCCCGTTCCCTTCTGTGCTAAGACCAACATGAAAATATTTATTCCTTTTGCAATTATTCTGCATTTTCATGGTAGACTCATATTTTTTTTTTTTCCTCCTTCTGCCAGTAGCCCTGTCTGCAGCAGACTTACGGATATAGCTTCACAGATGTCACTTAAGCCTTATACAGCTTCTATTGTCTGCCTTATTAGTTGTAAGATAGTGACAAAATGCCCAGGGTCTGATTTTTGTAAGAAGTCTTAGCATGATTTCCCTCTTCATGCTGAGGGATAAATGCAGAAACAAAGGAGTGAAATCCCTCAACAATTTCCTCACCATACGATGCTGTCAGAGGGTGCGCGTTTGCCTGTGGGAAGTCCTGTGAAGTCTTCAGGACTGGTGTAGTCTGCTTCCTGGGAATTGAAATGAGGGCCCAAAATGGAAATGCCTGTGAAGCTGCTGGCTGTGCTGCTCTTGACATCACCTTTGATCAATGGTTTTTACAGTGTAAAAGTTAGCCCAGCTCCAGGTGGTGTGGTGTATGCATTTTTTTCTTTTTTTTTTTTTTTTTTTTCTTCAGAGTAGGATGAATGGGAAACTATAGTGGTTTTTTTTGTTTGGGATTTTGGAGATTTTCTTTCAGCCCTGCTCCCACGCTGCACAGTCAACCTCTGTGTTAGCCAAGGCCCTTCAGCTAAGGCTGTGGTGAAGTTTCGGGGTAGGAAGCTATTTATTTAGAGGTGACTGAACCCCTGGTGTGTGTTAAAGGGCAATCTGTGAAGCTTTTTTTGAGGTTAACGTTGCTGAACAATCGGATCTGTGGCAAAAGGCAATTCATTGTCTCATCTGAAACAGCACTTATGTGCTAATTACTTATAGATTTAAGTGCAACTACAACCAACCTGTAGATGCCTTTAATCTCAGTGTAGTCACTGAACAGGAATTTTGAAAATAGGATTTGCATAGTAGTGCTACTAGCATAAAAGAATTATACTTGTTACTGTGCTGCCTTTAAGTGTTCTTTTCCTTCCTAATAGGAAAGTGGAAACTTTGTTTTTAGAGGGTGCGCGCATTATACTGACAATCCACTTACTCAGCTGACATGCTTTGGACAGGCTGACTCCAAATGCGAAATGTGAAGCTTTTAGTTCAGTTTGCCGCTTGTACTGTGAAAGGAAGGCAATTATTTTGAGCCCTGCTGGTGGTATGAGCAAGTTCCAATTATGCACTGTACTGACTAACTCGCTTTCTCTGCTGTTAATTGTATTTTTGCTTGCTAGTACTTTACGAGGGGAAGCAAATAACACAGTATTTGTACTGCAAGGACTCGGTGCTTACATAAAGTGGTGCTGGGATAATTCTTCATTGTGAGTTCCTTTTCTGTTATAGCAGTGTACTATTTTGTTGCAGTTAGAGAAATACTGTTGTCCAGGAAAAATGCATGCAGCAGGAAAGGAAATGAATTTGGTAGACAAATGAAAGTTAAAAGTGGAGGCATTTGAGGGAAGCATTAAGGTTTATATCTGCCTTTTCAGTCCTAGAGGTCAATAGCCACAAGCAGTGCCAATGTAGATGTGAGTATACCATATGGGGATGATGTACGGCAAGGCAAAGAGCACGGCTTAGAAGGGCCGTGCAGCTGCCTGCCGACCTCCTGTTTGGCAGGGAAGGACGTCAGAGAACGGCTTGCTAATGTACATGAGCAATGAACCCCAGCACCTGGCCCTACACCAAGCGATGCAGAGCATGGACGTGATGTTTTGGAAAAGTGGGCCCCATGGTTTGATGTCTAGTTGTTGCTTTGAGGCTGCGCTATATCTAGGATTTCAGTTTCTCCCTCAATTGCTGTTTGGTTACAACTGTATTACAGCATTGAATAGACCAGCGAATGTCGTTTGCAATGAATGTGTACATGCAGTTTATATAATGTAAAACTATGAAGATTCAGACCAGGGCTTGTCTGGGAAGAAAATATCAAGCTAGCGGCTTTAGGCTCCAGTAATTTTGGTAGCAGTACAAATTATGCAGTACGTAGACAGGAGGAGAGAGTACCCTCTTGCTTGGGGTTTACCTCAGGGTCCCACGAGTCTAGTGCTGGCTCGGGATAGGACATGGGGGCTATATAAGGGGCCCAGCAGCACTGCCTATGGCAGATGGTCATGGAGTGCTATGTACAGGAGCATTCGTTCACGCCCTGTAACAAGCTATCCCACCATTATGTCCTCTTCCTACCTATGTCTTGTAAAGACATAGCTTTGAAAGATGAATAAATGCTAGCTTTTAAAGTCTATCTTATTTTTGTCATCATTTGAATTCTGAAGCTTTCTGGTGTATATGTTTAATTGATTTAATCTTGTGTCCTTAAATAGAGAGCCACCATAGACAGTGTGTTAGAAATCTGGCTAAAATGTTAATTTACTGCAGAAGAAGAGGATCCTGTTATATTTCAGCATTCCCAACTGCCGTGCTGCAATACTGTTGGTTCTTCTTGAAATATACTGTCTAAAATAATTCATGCAACTTTAACAGTCTCCTGAAATCAGTCTGGGCATCTCCTGCGTTTCTTTGAGTGGAATATAATTTCTTTTTGGTAAATTATGGGCCCACACTAGAGCGTGCTTTGTATTCAGATGTGCTTGTTACATGAAGTCTTCCAGCACAAAACTTTCTACTGAATCTTTCCTTGGTTGAGGTCAGAAAGGTTGAAGCTTGAATCTGATTAAACCCAAGAGAAATCAAGTACTTGAGTTCATTGATGGGCTACTTAATCTGGTTTGATTACATCATGGATTTATATGGCTATGAATACTTTTACAAGTAACACATTTTTTTTAGTGTAAATTTGATAGTTTTGGTGTTTTTAGGTATTTTTGTTATTAATTTTGCCAGAAACAATACATTTTTAACAGAAGGTTGTCATCTCTCAGTTATTTATATGGGCAGAGGAGAAGCAAGGGAAGTGCTAAATAAGTTTTGTGAATAATAGCTAGACAAATATTCCTGAATGTTAAGAATTTAGGATTTGATCGGTATATGGAAAATGTTTGATATGTTGTGGGCTTCTCCCTCATTAATTTATTTCCATTCATAACCTAAAAAATGTTTGAAGCTTGAGAATTTTCTTCTGATGTTTTAAACATTCAACAAATCTAGTTGCGTGCCTTTGGCAACATTTGGAAGACTATTTCAGGTAATTTTAAGGAATTCGTTGTTTTATTGAGCTCAACAGAAATTGTTCAATTAAGGCTTGACGTTTAGAAACAAACAATGTTTCTAGTCACTCTAGTATAGAAGGTAACAGTTAAAAGTTGTTTCTGAACAAATTCTGTGGGCTGTGATACAGCCAATGACCTCTGTGTATTGGAGGGTTTGTTGTATGCCTGCTTTCTGGTGATCTACTTGATTGATCTGCTGTGATTAAAGATATTTCTTAGAAGAGGAGATAAATGTTTTTTCAGTGAATAAAACTTACCAAGATAATGCAAATGACAGAAAAAGTTAATAAATTGAAAATATTTATTGTCTTAGAGTTTTCTTTTTTTTCTAGGGAGTAATTTCTAGGACAGACAAAGGACAGTATCAAGTACCACTTTCAAATCTGGGTATTTCTTTCTATAATTTTTGTAGCCCATTTATATGGGAATGTTCATTTAAAAAAAAAAGTGTAAGACAAATCAAACACCTTTTTAACAAAACTGATTATATTTTATATTCTGTAAATATAACAACTAAATGTAATGACCTGAAAAGGGTCGCTGCTGAAAACCAGCAGCTCAGTTAAGAGGATAGTTTTGCCTCTAAAATGTGAAAGGCAGTTTTGAAGTCACCAGATCATGCTGAGTCTGGGGGAGATGAGTATCAATCCCCTATTATCCCAAAATAACAATGTAAGAAATAAAGAGCTTTTATACAGTGCTTTGTCTCTTGAAGACTGCAGAGGAAAAACAAAACAAATAAAAAAACCCCTCAACACCAAAACAAAAAGAAACCCCAACAAAATCCAAACACAGAATTTTGCCTAGTATTTCTTTTCTTTTTCTTCCCCCTAAATATGTTGCTCTTTTACTGGCAGGAATGAAAAAGGATATATTAGAATACTTTGGTTTAAAGTGGATGGAATTTTAGAGGATGGAAATATATGAAATTCAGGTATATGCCATTATGTAAAATATACTATAGCACTGTGAATTCTTTTTTTTTTTTTTCAAATTTGCTACTATTAAAATGTAGGAACTTATAATGTAGGATAATAGCATCATATTTGTAATAAAACAGAGTATGCATTCATCTTGTTTTGGGCCAGATTGAGGTAGCCTTGCTATTCACAGTGCCTTCAGTGTGATGGCTTATATGCATAAGACAAATGTGAATGTAAAAACAAATCAAGACCTTGAGAAACTCTCATCTGGCTGGCACCAGGGTAATTTTCAGAACAATGGCAGTCTGGGGGCTGAAGAACGCACATATTTACTTCTAAATATTAAGTCTGTATTTATTTTCAGTATTAGTAGATGGGAAAGTCATTTAGAGTGCTCTTAGGGATTAGAGATGATGGCACTAGGCACAAAGTGTGCGTAAACGGGGATTGCTCCTCTCTGGAGGATGAGATGGTACCTTGTACGAAGGGTAGGTCTGGGATGGCTTAGGAGAGGGTGGTTCAAAAAACCTTTTCCTTTTCTACTGCTTACGTGAATGAGCGTTGTCCCCTCTTGTTATTGCATAGCGTCTCATCGGTAAATGCAGCAATTGCTAGCATGCAGATGTAATACTTGGAAAAGATGCATCAGTTTTAGCTTTCTGATATGCATTTTAGTAATTGGAATTGAGGAGGTAATGGGAACAGCAAGGAGAGTTAAAAGCTAGCCACTAGCCGAGGGTTTATTCCAGGAGCATGGCTTCTCCATTATTCACAGTCTGGGAATATTTTGTACTAGGTGGAATTGAAATGCTTTCTTTTCCCTCGAAATCGCACTTGGTATTATAAGGTTAAGACCTTTCTAAAAGTCAGAAAGTATTAGTCTGGCTGATGCTTAAAAATGATGAGACGGGGATGATTAGGAAAAGTCAGTCTGCCAGTCTTCATGCTTTTTTGACTTGTAATCAGATTGATGAGCAATTAAGAATTTCTTTTAAAATACTATTGTAGTTTGTGTACTTTTGCCAGTGCTGGGACATTCCTGAGGGGATCTTAGTGGGATTTGTTACAGTACAAGAGATGGTTGCACGAGTCATAAACTGTTGTCAGTCGGCATGGATAGCTCCATCAAAGTCCGAGGAGGAGGGTTAGTTTATACCTGCAACATCCTGGTTCGGTGTTTTGAATGTTGTAGTCAAACTTGGTTCAGCTAAAAATAAGTATACTGCTTTCTCATATTTGCTTTTTTAAATCATGTGTTTGAATTGCAGAAATCTCATCAAGTTACTTTCATTTGTAGTTAAATTATGCAGAAACAAGACTGAGTCAATTGGAAGACTGTCATTGTGAGAAGACTTGTCAAGTAAATGGATTGATCTATAGAGACAAAGACTCATGGGTTGAAGATGATCACTGCAGGAATTGCACTTGCAAAGTAAGAATTTCTAAAGAGTTTAAGGAGTGGGACCTAATTAAAATGTGAAAATGGTCCCTGAATACATACTGTTGACTCTGACAATTATTACATTTTTAGCATGCATCTAGTGGCAGGATGAACAATAGGGAGGGAAGTGGTAAAATAAATAAAAACTTGACATTGCTTATGTGCAAGCTTCATAAATAAAATCTGCTTTGCCTTGACAATGCTGTCTTATTTGTTCTAATTATATCTGTGAGGACTTTATAGTTTTGGGGTGAAAGTGTGGCATTGTCTGTGTTTGGTTTGGAATTGTTTTCAGTGCAGTAGTTTTTTCACAAAGGAAGCATTATCTTAATAGTATTCATAGATGCTTAGTTGCATCTTGCATGGTAACAACATGCCGATTCTGTTTTCAGTGTTTATCACTCTGAAAAATCGAGGAACAGAAGAGAATTAGTATGTAAATCTTGTCTCATTGAAATTATTTGATAAATATCTGAAGAGAGCCTTTGTTTGCTCGAGAAAATAGAAAACTGATTGTTAAAAATCTCAGAGATGATTGGCACGGTGTACAGAAAGTGATGCTTATGTTCTTGTAAAGATGGGCTTAGGTTTTCCACTTTAACGTGCTTTGCCCAGGGGAAGTGGGGTAAAACCAGTAATATGTATCAAAATGGAGTTATTCACCTTCAGATGCGTTTTGATTCAAGTTTGTAGTTAGATAGGATTAAACTTGTTACTGAAGGAAGGTTCTGTAATCTACAGTGCTATTTTTATTTAAGTAGTTTTCCGTCTTCTGTGTTTTGTATAAAAGACTCACTATTTACAACAGTCATAGTTGAATTTTGTCTTAAAAACCTTTGCTTAGAGTGGAGTTGTGGAGTGCCGGAGGATGTCCTGTCCCCCTCTCGATTGTCCCCCTGATGCTCTCCCAGTGCATGTGGAAAACCAGTGCTGCAAAATATGCAAGGGTAAGTATATCGCACGGACCTTTTTGTTTTGCTCTCTATTTAAGCAGAGTTAAAGTTGTCCTGAAAGCAGGTGCGTTTTATAATGACTTTCATAGGTCTTGGTAATTCAGGTAACGTGAGTCGCTGTGGCCAACTTGATTTAAGAAGAAAATAAATAATTGCTGAGAAATGAAAAAGCACTGCAAACTTCTAGAGATTCTCTTTTTACCTATTGTCAATGTAAAAAAAAATTATCTGCTTGTTTGGGACTGGGAAGCCTTACTTGGCTTCAGCTTGTATCTCCTGTTGATGTTGAGAAGCATCAAGCCTACGATCTGAACTTTCTGTAGCAATGAGTAATAAACTGAGCTGTTATCTTTTCCCCTATCTTTTATGTTCAGTTGGAAGATTGTTCTTTAAAAGAAACAGGACAGAATTTCAGACCTTGAGTTAGTATCATTGTGTGGAGTGATAGTTTGGTGTAATTAATTGCAAAATAAATTTATGAGAAGAAAGTAAAATAAGTAAATTTTGTGACCAATGTTGTTGTCAGCTTTCAGTTCCTCCTTCTGGAAATGAAAGCTATTAGTAACATTCCTGGAAAGAATATTCAATATTTGTTGCCTTAATGGTAGCACAAGGGACAAAGACAATTTATATATGGAAATTTTAGCTGAATACTGGTGCCAGTCTTACCCTAAGAAGCACAAATTATCTTTTTTTTTTGGTGGGGGTGGGGAGTGTTTGTGTGTGGGTGTGGGGTTTTTTTTTTTTTGTTTCTGCCATTCTATTCTTGGAGAATAGTAAACTTCATCTATGAGTTTTTCAATAATTCATAAGACAGGGATGTTGAATTATTTTAAGATTTATTAGGAAAGTAATAACGCTTTTTAGCATTCTGTCACCTTTCTTCAGTCACTGAATTCATTAGTCCCACGCACAAACGTCCTTTACCTGTGATCTTGCACTCGCTCATGTTTACTCATGTCACCTCTTTCCTCTCAGCTATATGTTGGCATGACTATCCTGCTTACTAAAAGATGTTTAGGAATAGACTACTTGGGTGGTGGTAAAGTGGTTATGCTGGCCTGTATTTTTTTTGTCTCAAAATGTTTTTATTTGTAACATTGAAATTCTAGAAGGTTCCTTCATGAAACTGGATGCTTCTCTTGACACGCCTTAGCTGCCATGCATGTATGCACAATGGTCAAAATTTGGCACAAAGGAATTGCAAGGCACAAAATTGTAGATTCAATGTAAATCCTCATGAGTAAACTGTGTTCCTGTTATTTGTAATGGAAAGATGAACAATCAAACTTGCCTTTTGTCAGTGATTGGCACAAACTTGACTCGTTATTCTGACGAGAACTCAGCATGTCAGTCAATGGGAAGAGATGTATGGAAGTTGATTGAAATTGATTGTAAATGCCAGCTCCTTGACAGAATGATGTGCTAGGGCCACAGTCAGTCATTTTTGGGTAGATAGTGGTAATTGCTGAGGCTTTCCAAAGAGCCGCACTGCAGGTGTTAATTTCTCCATGCTTTTCCTATTTAGCTCTGATAGAATCATCAGTTGTAATTTGCTGTCTCTACGGATTATTGAATGGCTGGTTTATTGAACAGTTTCCTGTCTTAGCTGAGGGTTAACGAACAAAGTAGCTCTAATGTCTGATATGTTAAGGGTTTTAAAAATGAGGCGGTTCTGTTTTGATCCCTGCCATCTTGTGTTAGCCTTCCAACTAATATTTGACAAGAGACTATAATTTTGTTTAAAATATCATCATTTTTCCGAGTGGTGCATTAACTTGCTTTCTGGTGTGTCCATTCTCTTGTTAAAAGCAGTCATGTCAGGAGAACAGACTGAAAGGAAAAGGAAATTTCTCTAATTCATCTTCTCCCAAAAATAGTTACTGGGATTCCTAATTTAAACAAAGCTTCCTGATCTGAAGTTTTCTTCATAAGTGAGATCACAAGAACTTGGGCATGAAAACTAGGGCAGCTTTAGAAAAATGAAGAAAACTAGGATACCAAAAGAAAGAAGCCTGTTTATTTAATACATTGTTGATGATGGAAACTGAGTTGTTCAGAAAATCTTGCACTCTTTTTTTTTTTTTTAAAGAGCATTTTCAAGAGTGTAAGTTTAAACAAAAAGTCTTCAGAAGCAAATTTATGTCTGAAAGTTTATGAAGATTGATCTAGCAGTCCTTTATGTTTAAAATCTGGCTATGACAGTTGCTGCTGTGGAATACTCCTGTTGATATCACCCGTAAGGGTACACACATGCACCTGTAAGTGCTTGGTTCCCTTACCTTGGTATTCAGGAGAGAAATTGAGGTAAAACAGTTACTGGACACTCTGTGACTTTTTTTTTTTTTTTAAAGAACCAAATACTTTCAACACTTTTACTGCATGTGCCTTTACTCAGGAAACTTTTAAGGCTTTGTTCAAATTGCAACATAGGATGTGTACCTTTTAACTCCACTTTCAGTGTCGTAGGTCAGACTGTTATTGGTCAAGTGCAGAGACCTGAAACACCACAACAAAAAGTTATTTTAGCAGTGATTTAGCATTGATTTTTGTTAGTAATGTAGAGTGCCTTTATGATGGATACTTGATTTATGTGAGATCATAACAGTCCAACTTTTCTCTTTAATTAATGGATTTACTATCCTCCTCTGGATTTGAAATTTAGACAGCTAGTTCCCAGAGGCCGGTGACAGCTGTGGTAATGCTTGACTGAGCTGTATGCTACTGTGGCCTTGCTGGAGGTTACCTTCTTCATGGTGGCAGTAGTCCGAAGCTAAGCTAGTTGTTTCTGCCTTAAAATGAATGAGGGAGTGCTCATGTGTTCAGTTCCAAAGCTGAACCAACAGGCTAGGTTATCTTTAGCGGAAGGATCAAAACTTCAGACAGGAATTTTTTAGTAGGAGCTTTCAGTTTCCTGGGAAATCTGCTTATTTCACGTGTGTTATGAGAATATTTTTCTAAAATAGATTTTTACAGTTTGTTGATTCGGTAGTCATTTGCTTCATCTAATCAATTTTTGCAGTGCTCCAGCAAGTTTGAAGGGTTCACCTTTGTGCCCACAAAAAATCAAGGTTTAATTGAAATCTGTGCTTGTATTACTCTCTTGATGAACAGTACACTAATAAATGATTCCAGTTCTTGAAGTGAATCATGAAGACCTCTAGTAACACAAACGCTGTAGCTAATCTACAGAATGTCAGTAATGAAAATATTTTCTAATGAATACTAATTAATTTGGTCCACTACATATTGTCTTACGCTCTTATTCCTCCTCTTTAATTTGGGTAAGGGTGCTACTTGCACTTAAAATGAATTCATTGTTAGCTAATTTGTTTGTAATTATACATAATACTGACTTCTGATGAAAGCAAAATGCATCACGTTTTTAACGTATCCATATTTTTTCATTGTATGTGCATACTGGCTTTACTTTCGTGTTATACCTTGCATTTGTTTACTACTTTAAATACTGGTTTAATTTATTTATTTTTAACCTCATGCCTTCTCCTCTCAAATTACAGCAAAGTGTATCTATGGAGGCAAAGTGCTAGCAGAGGGTCAACGAGTATTAACCAAGAGCTGCAGGGAATGTCGAGTAAGTTTTGGTTGTATAAACTTTTCCTGATTTTAAATGTATGTGTGGTGTTCAAAAGTGACTATGATAAGTTAGCGTATTTCTTTAGGCTTCCTTCATGCCAATGTGACATCTGTTGCCTTGGAAAGGTGACCTTGAAGTCAGTGAAAGCCACAAATACAAAACCAAGGCAGGCATATGACCCTTGCAGGGTAATAAAAAATAGGGCAAAATGAGCTGGAGGGATGTTTTTCTCTCTTATTTCTGCTTTCATGAGGTCTAGAAAAAGGCAGCAGCATCTTGAACCAGTTGCTAATTTCAGCCGAATTGCTAAAATTTGAAGCAACCTGCCTTATATTGTTTGAGTTAATCTAGATTTACCTTAGTATTATTTAAACTTTACGTAGCCCTGCTAAAAATTGAGGTAAATTACTAAGTATTGGACTGGACTGGAGTCTTTCTTGGCAAGTTCATAACAGTATTTAAGAACACAGATGAATGGAGACTGTGTTAGATGAGAACGTTCAAGGAACGTTAGGGAATATGTGCGCTACATGGTGTGTAAGCGTGGCAGAAACCAGCTGTGGTCAGGACGAGCCTTAGAAGAAGAGAGCAGTAGTAGATGATTATAAAAGGCCCATTGCTTTGCTGAGACATGTACTTGTTGTGAGTATGTGTGTGCTTTAAATATGATTTATCGCTTCAGAAAGGCACAGCTATTTTAAACACATTTGCTCTCATGTAATTTTCAAGTATTTTTGTTTTTACATCTTGTTGAATTTGTAGAGGAGGAAGGGTGATAAATGGGAGGCTTATAAATGTTATTGACAGATCAGTATGCTAGAACAATTATGAAAAACGTTTGGAAAAGATTACAATGATCTAGTTATTGTGCTTGTAGCTGAGTGTACAGGGTAGCAATTTTATGTTCACTAATGGAAATGGACAATAACTGGTTGCAGATGTTGTGAAAGCAGCTTGTTATGCAGAATTACTTTGCTGCCGTTGGTGTTTAGCTGTATAGGGGTGCTCAACATTGTATATACAAATACATGGGCAAGGTCGTTGCCTTGAAGACAGACTAAGGTGCCGGTTATTTATAATATGACATAGAAAGCTTATTTGGGAGGGAGAGTGCCTATATGAAATAAGATGAGAACAGGAAGATTTTCACATTAAAGTGAAACCAGAGAGAGTGATCTGAATTATGTGGGTGGAACTTTTGTGCTATAAATAAGAGCTTTATATTCGTTATGAGTATGCTAATATGTTCATGAAGATTAAAAGCAAATACTGACCATCAAATATCTGTCGTATTAGAAATGACTAAAATAATAATGAAAAGAGCTTTTGCATTTTCCTTATTGTTAAAGGAAATTGATATGGCAATGCTAATTGCAGTAATGTCACAGTTTGTAGAATTTACATCTTAGTGGCGAGTATTGATAAGTATTTGAAACAGCATATGTGAATGCAGTACCATGAAAAAAAAATGGGTCTATGTTGCAAAAAAACCGCAAAGGTATTTCCACAACTGTGTTTCAAGAAGACATTCAGCCTTGCTGGCAAAATTTGTCTTTCTGATTTGGGAGACTTTTTAAGTGGGTACTTGCTTTTATGAGATGATGTGTCTTCAGACAGGAAGTTCATTCAATGTCTCTTCAGCATGACCTTTTAAAAGCTGTGAGCAAAACACCTACTTATTTACTGCCTCAGTTAGGAATGCTTACTAGATGAAGGATGAATGGTGATGAGTCAAGCTGTGGCAGTAGTCATTGTGCTGTATGAGAAAAGGAAAGGCTTTGTGCTAAGGGAAGGACCATAAAAATTTTAATAGGGTTTAATTTTCCAAACTTGAAAAACAGACATCAAGTTTGAACAGTTGTTGGTCCGTTAAGGAATACAATAGAGGATACACATCAACTGTCAATTTATTAGTGTTGATAAAATTGACTTAAAAATATTGAGATGTAGCTCTTGTGTCTGTAAAGGAAGATGTATTTGTAGGTGGGGTAATGTCAAAAAAATAAAGTTGAAATTTCACATTTCAATTTTTATTTGAAGGTAGTTATTTTATTCTTTGCATAGGTACTGATCCAAGCTTAAGATGATTTTAATTTTTATATTTTTTCCATCTAACAAAAATAATACTGATGGATCCAGATAGATCAAAGATTTTCTTTATCAGGCTGTGAACAGGGTTTTTTTTTTAATTTCTGAAAACTAATCCAGACTAAAAATGTATTTATGATGCACATCCTCTTAACCATAAGCACAGATGTTACTGATGGACAACCATTCCCAGCTGGAATCCTGCCCACAAACACTCTCTAGATTAATCTACAATGACAAAATGACAAAATTAGTGCACAGGTGTTTCTAAGAATGACAGAATGGTTCCTGTTGTAAGGGACCTCTGGAGGTCATCTTGTCCAACTCCCCTGCTTGAGCAGGGCCACCTACAGCCAGGACCATGTCCAGACAGCTTTTGAATATATCCAAGGATGGAGACTCCACAATCTCTCTGGGCAACCTGTGCTGGTGCTTGGTCTCCCTCACACTGAGAAAGTGTTTCCTGATGTTCAGAGGGAACCTCCTGTGTTTCAGTTTGTGCCCATTGTCTCTGGTCCTGTTGCTGGGCGGCAGCGCTGGAAAGAGCCTGGCTGTGTCGTCCTGGCACCCTCCCTTCAGATATTCATACGCTGGAAGTGGGCAGTCAGAGAGTGCCATACAAATATGAGACAGATGGACAGGGCTTCATTGACTTTCAGGAAGCTTAACTGAAAAGTTTTTCAGAAAGATAAGGAACAACGTGGTTCCAAGAGTGACAGCTAAGGACACTATTTAGAACTTTCTCCTGAAAGGCTGATCAATAACAGCTTAAAACAAGAGGGGAGAAAAAAAAACCCCAAACAACAACAAAAACCCAAAATAACATTATCTGAAATCTTGCTATTATTTTCCAAAGCTGATCATCTGAGATGAACTGTTTGTGGTTTGGATTTTCACTACATGTCACTGATTAGGCTTATAGCCAATTCTTTTTAATGTACTTACCTTTGTAATTACAAGAAATTTAATTATCTTGTTGTAAATGTTTGACTGCAGGTCTCATTCTTTGTGGATTATATGTCACAGTTGGAGCTTGACCTATTTATTCCAGAAGAATGTCTGTTTGACATCTATTTCGGTCCAGATTGTATGACTACATATGTGAATTGAGTATAAAATGTTAGTGATTTTGCTAACAAAAGGCTGCCTGAAGCAATAATTCTGAAGTGTGAACTGTTCTCACTTATCTCAGTGGTTAAAATCTGAAATCTAGTGATGATAATTCTTATAATTGGATCTGTACTAGTTGATAACAAATTGATTTTAAGTCAAAGAATAATCAATGTGGAAATATTTAAATTGTTTTAAAACTTAATTACAAATATGTTCAATTTGTTTTCCAAAGATGCAAATTCTGCAGAAAATGGGAAACTTTAGGGAAATAAAATCTTACTGTTGTTAAATTAATTGAATTCTCAGTTTGTTTTGTGGTTTGGTGGGGTTTTTTAATCTCCTTAAGATTCACTGAAGAAGGCGTGAGCTTGGATTATCTTTAGCTTTTTGACTCATCCTGATCACCGATTTGACTCTCCTACGATTTCTTGATTTCTCGCCATCTTTTTGACCAGATTTATGGTCAACCAACACTTTTTGTCCACATGTTGACATACCGTACCCTTTTTGCTGCAATTGTCTTGTCTGAGCTTGAATAGGCGATGAGTTATAGCCAGAGCTTTTCCAGCTGGTAGTTTGATAACATGACAGTAAATGACGGCTCAGTGTGTCTGGTTCTTTTCTCACCTTTGCTGCTGCAGTTGCACAGGCAACTGTGGGGGATTCCTCCCTTTCGCTTATAGAAGTGAGATCAGAAGGAGACCTAATACCTCCATTAACTTCACTGTTCTTCTGTGGGCACTTGCTCCATTGATGCGTGCTGTATGTGATACTGTAGGGAGCTTCTTTTTTTTTTTTTTTTTTTATTATTTTTCATGACAGCAACTGATGCAGCTTGCCAATGAAGACAATTGGGAAGTGAGAAAAACGGCTTGGCCCTGCTTAGCCTTACGATTGCAACCTCAAGGGCAGTCGCTGGCAGTGATTGTAGAATGGTCAGTTTTGCATTCCCTAGATCTACTGCACTTCTCAATTATAAGACCTGCTAGCTGTCGGGCACCTTGTGCGTTGTTTGCGCCTTATAGACTCAGCAGGCGTTTCTGCATACACAACCGTGCAGGGCAGCTTGATGCTGTGAGAGCTAATTCTGGAGCCTGAAGTGACACAGCTGAATCGCTGTGGCATGGCTGGTGAGGCTAATTACTGGTTCTGACATGAAAGCAAGCTTCTGTCTAGCAAGGGTGTCTCTGTACAGGGGTGTTTCTTCATACAGGGTAGACATAGAGGTATTTTCAACATATTTTGTTCAGAGTCACGTATCTGTTCCCTTAGATTATGAGAATGGTGACATTAATAACATATTTTGTCTTTTTTTTGATATTAGTTTTTCTCTGCTTTCTTAGTCCTAGATGTGTTTGGATCATATTTTTAAGCTTTTCTCTGCAATCATGATAGCTAGAAAAGGTAATTTATTTCTTTGAAGAAAGCAGAAATTCTCATTCCATCTTTTCGTTCCACCGTCTGAGGCATCATGAAAAATATTTTGGGAGGAGTGGGGACTAGATTCATATTAAAAAGGTCAGTTGGTATTATAGCAGGTTGCCTGCTTTCTTAGTGGAGTTTCACAGCCCTTTGGAAAATGAGATTACTAAGGTGTGGACAGTCCCGTGGGATAGTTATTGTATCTCGTACTGAGCACAAATCCTGGTGGTTAATCACTGCTCCACTTGCCAGTTCGCAGTGATGGCATAGCTGCAGAAGGGATGCTGAAGTAGTAAATCGTGGTATGGGGAAGTATATAAGGGGTAAGGGAAAAGCAGAAGCTATTTTGGGACAAGATGTTAAGAAACAATTAACTGAAGAGCAGGATGGCTGTTTGGTCTGGAGATACGGTGAGGCTGATTTCCTGGATGGCAAGAAGATGGAGTAAAATTTGGTGTAAAACATTTCCAGAAAGGCTCTATGTCTAATATTTTAGAAAATTTCTACCAGCAACTAGACCTCCTACACACAGTCTTATTCTAAATCTAGCAGAAATCAAAATCGTAGAAATATCTTGACCTTGATTTACATTTTATACAGCAATTTCTGTATGGATGCCTTGGGATGGGATTTCTGCTTTGCTCTATCTTTGGAGGACTTAATTTTTGGAAATTAGGTGATCAGTAATTCTGAAGAACAGACCCTTTTAACTGGACACAGCAGAACAACACATGACAACAACATAAAAACCAACATAAAAAAGTTGGTCTTCTATCTGCTGTGTTTGAGTTGAATAACTTATCAGTGAGTTATGTAGAATATGAAATAAGAGGAGTAAAACTCAAACTTACATAAAGCAGAAGGACTGTCTTTAAAAAAAACCTTGAGTGAAATTCTTTAATTCCTTCAAATACTGGGAAGGAAAACAACTATACTTGGAGACAACATTTTTGGAGAAACTACTATAGAATTCTGAGCTTATGTGCTTTTTTCTTTTTTTTTTTTTCGTTCAACTCTGGGCATAGAAATGTCCGAGTGGATTACTTCAGATTTGATGTTATGGTGTAAAGAATTAATTTAACTCGCTTCCTGCTAGTTTACCAGTGTTGTTACTAGAAATTACCAGAGTTATACATTGAAAATTATGTGTTCCTTGTCATTGTACTTGTTTTAATCAATGTCATTTTTAAAAATGTTGTTTGTTTTTCAGAACGGAGTTTTAGTAAAAGTAACAGAGACTTGTCCGCCATTGAACTGCTCAGAAAAAGATCATGTTCTTCCAGAGAACCAATGTTGCAGTGTTTGTAGAGGTAAGCCAGAGACTATGCATGCTTGGAAGGAATAGAACTTGCTGATTCAACGGGGGGATACATTGGAAGGAACAATTACTTTTTAATGAGATATTAGATACCTCTGTAAACCTGAGTCTATAACTGGCCTTCTCGTAAAACCAGTCTGTGATATTCCTTTGGGTAGAAGACTTACCAGATACAAAGCTGTGATTGCTCTGAATTAGAGAGGAGGAGGGAGAAAAGGAAGAGTTGGGGGAGAAAGGGCCCAGTATCTCTTAAGAATTCCAGGTTTTAAGAAGTTATGTTTGAAAAAGAAATAAACTTGCAACTGCACTGAATGTACAGGGTTTTGGAAATGGGTTTTTAAGCTCTCTATTTTAAAATCACAACAATGATGTTAAGATTCCAGATTGATGGATATTTTGAAGTTGATTTAGTTCTGAGTACTCTCAGGACTCATGAGTTAAGCTGGACAATTACAGAATAAAAATGAAAAAATAACTCTAGAGCCCAGAACCCCGTTTTTCCTCCTTCCAGTGGGGTGTTGAGATGCAAGTTCCTCTTGCTTGCTCTCATTCAGCCCTGGTGAATCCTGCTTGCGTGCCAGACCAGACTGAACAAGCGATAGCTAAAATCTTAGTTGAGGAAATCCCCTTAAAGGAGAAAAATGTAGGTGTCACAAGGATGGAAACTCAAACAAGCTGTCGTCTTAGTGTGTTGTAGTCAGTGAGCTGTTCAGTGAAAGATGTTAGAATAATCGTTCCCTGTGCATGTCTGTATTGTGTCTTTGTTCCACACCTCTCCCTTGGTGCTGAGTCTCAGCTAAACTTAAGGGGAGCCTGATCTCTCAGAGCAGGACTTGTATGTCAGCCTTTAGTGATGCACCTCAGAAATGTCAAGCGACAGGCTTGCCAAATGAGCATTAGACATTTCCAGGCTTAGATGGTTATCGGTGCCTGCTGGACTACTTTTCTTGCCTATGTATAAATTCCTCTGGTGTCATCGTAGATACCAGTGAAGGTTCTCTGAATTTCTCCCTTAGCCAGTAAATATTAATTAATAAACATGTCTAGTTAAATATTTACTCAGGCCTTGAACTTGCAATCATATGGATGTGATTGCAGGGGCCAGTATTTTTTTAGATTGCTTGCTGGATCATGGTCTAAGAATGTACGCATTAATTTTTTTGAACAGTTTCTAGAAACATCTGTAACTCTTTAAGCAAGCAGTAAATGTTGCTTCTTTGTCCCTCAGAGGGCTCGATGTCTTAATGATACTTCTTAACAGATGGCCCAGTTTGATGTAGTGCAGTACTGAAAAAATTATCTTCATTACTTAAAAGCATTAGAAATCTGAAAGCTTCAAAGTTGATGAAAGATAAGTTCTGTAATTATTCAGTTCTATATTATTGTTAATGACAGATACTCTTTTTAGATATTCATCCCAAAACTGTTTTCATTATTTATAAAATAGCATGAATATGTATACTTATGTGATGGTCTCTAGAAGCAAAGGAAGGAATTGTACTTTCACTTCCTATGAATTCTGACATACGGTGCTTTCAAATTGATACGTTAAACTTCCACTTGAGTTCTGCTTTAGCCGACTACTAAAACAGTACCACCTCCTTTTGTATTTCATCTTTGCTTTTTAAAATTCTTTTGAAAATCACGCTTAACGATATGATTAATTTTGTCAACTTTACAAAGGCATAAATTGAAGTTAGCTCTCCTAAACTGCTTTTTATATCTCAGAGTAGAATATATGTTGCTCGACATTTTTGCTTCAGTTGCACGCAACCCAAAGTGGTAGTATATTATTTTTGTCATATGTAGAGTACTGGTGTTAAAAATAGATATTTATTAATAATTCCATGTTTAGCATGGGCTTTATCATGCAAACAGGTGCCCTCTGATATGGCAAGCAGGCCATGGTTTCTGGTCCTGTCCTGTGCCAGCGTGTCCTTTACTGGGAAAGGATCGAGTGCTTCTCCATTTTGCTTTAATGACCTCTTTCAGGGACTATATTCAGCTTTTATTCTCCAAGCAAGAGCAGTGAGGAAGAAATACTGTAGTAAATACAGTCCTGAGGAACCAGGGCATTTATTGGAAGCCCATATGGATCGTTTGCACATCATGTGCAAATTTCACATTATATGTATAACACAGATAATTCTTTGCATTAGCACTTAGCTAGGCCTTTAGTTAGTCAACAGGATGATTAGTAAGCATTTACCAGTAAATGTTAAATGAGAACAGTAATTCTATGTAAAGCTTGTCAATGCATACTAGTGACTGTTAAGTTCTTGTTTCTCATTGGTTTGTGCTTTCTTTAGTATCTAGTTGTGGAAACAGAAAACTTCCACTGAATTTCATGTTCTGTAGAATTATAAAATACCTTTGCTGAATTGGGCAAGGGTAGGAGGCTTGCAACTTGTGCTTTTCTCGCTGCAGCAAAGGAGTTTCCATTTAATGAAAGGATAAATGTGAGGGATCAACAGAGAAATATAGAGAAATGCAGGAACTTCGTGATGCTGTGGTAGAAGACTCTACCCTCTTAGGGGATCTCTGTAATATCTTTCAGAATAAGAAGTGCCTAAAATAAAATAGGGTATGCAAGGAAAAAATTAAATCTGTGGTGCTTATGGTGATGGAAATTGTGAGTCAGCAAAGGACCGAGTTGAATACTGTAATGTACACAGCTGGTGGGACTCCTAGATAGTCATTATTGTTTGTAAATGGTTAGAAAAGTAAAGACAGCAAATAATACCTTTTCTTCTTTGAGTTTGCTATGTGAGTTTATAGTATACCAAAAGCTAATGTATTGCTAAAAGCCAATTTCTAGATTTCAGAAAAATGATTGTACAAGATGTACAGTGAGGCAGGCATAGTATGGAAGAACTGTGCTGTACAATGACAGCTTAGTTTTGTGATTTGGTCTACCTGAATGCAAAAATGAGTCTCATCAGATCTGTAAATAGGATGTATCCTTGACTGTTGTGTAGAGTGTACCTAGTTTTGCCCTTCATCTGTGTACTTTAATATAAATGTCTGCTTAAACTATGTGGCCGTGTTATACTTTTCAGCAGGAAAGTCAGCAGGACAATGTGGCATTATTAAGCTCTCTTTTTTGGGCTTACAGAAATTTTAGTTAATTTTACAATTTTACAAAGCATCATTGTGTAATAAAATATATTTTTTACTACTTTTTTTGAGAATCAGTCATTTTTCTTATAGCACGCCTGCTACATTTTTTATAGCCCAGGGACAAATCTAATACAAAAAGTAGTGTCATAAAAGTGTTTTATTGTTCCCTTTAGCTGTTTTTCTCCTTGCCAAAGACACTGTATAATTTTGAAAGAGTGGATTTTTTCTCTTTTGAATGAGTGATTCAAAGTTTCATGAGAGAATTTTTATGTTGTTATGCTCACAATTTTAGTATGTACGAGTAGCCTGAACGGCTCTAGCAGCTTCAGTCATGCTCTCCTTAAAAGAGAGAGTGTGAGGAAATAATAGCAAGAGCTGTTTGATTTCTGGAGAAAGTAATTTTTATTTGCTGTCCTGTAATAGAGTTTGGCTGATGAATTTAGATTGACCGCTGACGCTGGTTAGCAGGAAGTGGAGGATCCTACTGGTGAGCTGAAGTGTGCATTTTACGGTGGGGAACAGCGTTTAAATCTAAAAATGGTGCTTCTGCCACCCTTACTTGTATTGCTTTGTTTTGTTTTAAGGAGGTTTTGATTCTTTTGATTAGAAGATGAGAAGGTTCTCCAGTTAGCATGTTTTGCATCTCTCCCTCTCTAGCTGTGAAACTGAGTTTTGCTTTTTCAGGAATCGAATGTTTCTCATTCATTGCTGTGAGGTATGAGTTATTTCAAGGTTTTAGTTTTATTAAGATTTAATGGATGTTGATAAATATGATTTAGTTTATTTCTAAACTTAGTTTATAATGTCACTAAGGATTTAGGAGAACTTTATATCTGAAAAAAAAAATCTTCATAAGCTTGTTAGGTTGTGCAGTACCATTATTCTAATGCACACGAATAAGCGGTGTGTAATAAGGTCTGCCTTGATATAGCAGCTTGAAAGAATTTATGAAGTTACTGTTTTATGTCAGACCACTGAGTTCTGGGACCACAGTCTCTGAAGGCGTAAAAACTGCCGTTCAAAGTGCTTTGTTGCTCATGACTCCTTAAAAACTGATTCAGATCATGAAAGGGCATAATTACTAGTGCAAATTTTATGACTCTTTCAGTGAGTTGTCCCTCAGATTTACTTTACACATTTACGTAGTTACTGTGGGGTTAAATCATAACAATAGTAAAGATTTTGAGGTTGAAATTACCTTGGACCTTTTGAACATTGCTAATACTATTAAGGAAAGCATTGTCAGTGTTCTTTTTAGAAGCTTCTGAAATGTGAAACAGTGAGATGTGGATTACTGAAGGGTAACTTCTTGAACAGCAAAAGAACAGGGTTTTTACACTTTTTGAAGTGAACAGCTAGGGATGTTGTAAGAAGTACAGAAAGCATTACAGATGTTATAAGGAAACTCTCAAAAAAAATGAGAACAACATTAGTGTTATCCATTAAAAAAAAAGGCAGGAAGAGATACGGATATAAGATATATTGATTCCAGCTGTAGTCTTGAAAGAGTTCTTGCATTCTTCAATCAATAATTAAGCCACATTACCAAATATGTTCGGTACTTAAAAAAATTGGATGACAGCACAAAACAGCTTAGCGTGCTGCTCTGGAAAAGCAGATTCTGGGAACTGGAGCCTGAAGATGTTGAAAAGCGTGGTAAAATAAGAGCAATGTTTAGGTGCCCCGGAATGGAGTAAATGTTTAATTTCACATGATATGACTTGAGACCACTAAGCCCTATCCAGTTGTGCAGTTTCCGATGCTGCAGAAGTGGTAGTTTTATGTCTGGTAGCATGAAATCTGATGTCTTTCATAATTGTCTTAGTAGATTTATTAATGGTCATTCTACAGTCAGAAGAAAGAAGTGGGAAGATACAAATATGTTCTTAAGAAAAATTGGAGCAAACATTTCAGCAACCTTGATAAAGGAAGAGACTAATGTTATCAGAAATGTTTGGGGAAGGAACAGAGGTCATCAGGCCCATCAAAAATCCAAACACACTCTTCAATGTTTAATTCCCCTGTTGGTAATATCTAATTGTATCTTGAATGTCTTGAATGACTTTGAAGGGCTGTTGTGCACATTTATCACTGGGTGTGTGTGGGGAAAATGGCTTCTGACATCTGTTCTGAATGTGTTTATCTGTAATTTTAATTCATGCTCACTTGCCTTGTCATCTGTGTTGGCCTGAAATTAGTTTAGATTATCAGAACTATTTAAGATTTTGTATGCTTCTGTCAAATCCTCTCCAATTGCTTGCTTGCTCGGATGCGATGATTCTATTTTAAGCTATTTCTTATATTTAGAGAGGAGCTGACTGTCTCAGATAAGACTTCGCTGAATATTCCGAAGTCTCAGTAATTCAGTTATTTTCACCTGGGCAATCGGAACGTGTGCCCTCTGCTAGCTTCCACCCGTGGCTGAGATTCAGAGATCCCACTGCAGTATCACCGGGTGGTTTTGCCATCTGCGTAGGTATTTTAAAGGAACCCTATGATCCATTTCACACCAAAGAATTAATAAAAATCAGATGTTTGCATTCTTTTCCATTCTGCTTGCTTGGGTATAAGTAGTTGCTCCTATGAATAGATTGGCCGTGAATAGATTGATGTTTAAGTCAGCGCTTAGGTCCCTCCCTGTTTAGTCAGGAATATAAGCATGGTTGTCGCAGCCAGTGGCCTTGTGCGCATTCCTGACTGTTGTACTGAATAAGAATGCATTCCAATATTTAGCTAAATTAGGTGTTGAATTAACATTGGTAAATGTGAGAAGAATGCAGCTGGCTTATTTCTTCACATTCCAGTCCAAATATGAGGTGGCTTTTATTTGCCAGGTGAGCAGGAAAAGCACTCAGGCCCAATATGAACTAAGATAAATAGCATTTTATTCCTTTCTTGCCTTCAAAACCTCAGCTGGGGAGAATGCCGACAGGGTCTAAGAAATGCAAGAACGACACTTCCTTGGTACGCACCCCTTAGCCCTTTTGAAGTGCTACACGTGCATCTTCATTGCAAAAGAAAAGTACTTGGAAAAGCCTCTGATCCAATCAATGGCATGCCTGCTCTGACAGAGGCACAGTGAACCCTTACTCTTCTATACCATCAAGTGCATTTTTTTTTTTTGTCCCTGTTGGTTTAGCTTAAATTACATTTGTTTTGTAAAAGCTTGGTAGCATACAGTGTCGTAGCACCATACATGCTCTTAACAGGAATGGCTTCCACTTTCCGCTTATGGAGGTATTGAACAAGTTTTCTGAAATGCTATGGGAAATTGAAGTTAAGTAATTTTCAGTCAGCATTTTTAAAAGGTGGGAAACAGTGTTTCACAGGTCTTTTATAATAATAAATGCCGAGGCAACCTAGAGATGTAGTAGGTGTGCTACCATTGTGTATTCCTAATGAAGAGTTCTTTAGAGCCTCTTATTACACAAGTTACAGGACTGGATCATTACATTTTTTTTCTTCTATGCTCTTTTAACAGCTTTCAAGCTTGAAAACATAAGAAAATCTGATTTTGAATGGAGACGGTTCATATTTGAGTTGATAATAAGGGAACAAAAGCAATACAAGTTATTCCAGAGAATTTTTTAACAAAAGGTGGCAGTTCTAGTGGTACAAAAAGTCATCATATCTACTGATGAATTTCAGAGGTGGCAAATAAACTTTGAATTCCTAGGGCTCTGATGTGATATTGAAAACTAATCAGTGGCATGCACTTGGGCGAAAGTGTCGTTAAAGAAGGGTTAATCTAGGCCTTGGGACTTGTGATGAAATGTAACCCTGAGAAGACATCTCTTTGGCTAATTGTGTTAGATTTGCCATGAACTGGTCACAGGGTAAAATGTTGACTCACTGGGATAAAGGCAGCCCAGAATCAAAGGTTGGTTTGTGGGGGTTTTTTTGTGGGTTGTGGGTGGTTTTTTGGGGTTTTTTTTTTTTGTGTTTTGGGGTTGGTGTTTTTTTTTTTTTTTGTGCAGAAAGTTATATAAGGACTATTGTAACATGCTGAGAAAGATTAAATAATTTTTACACTTTTCTGTAAGAGGGAAATATAAATGAATAAAATTAAAATATCCTAAGACGGGAGTAACAATCCACACTAAATGAAAATGTGGTATTTTTATAGTGCCTAGCTTAACACACTGATATGTTACATTAGTTCTGAGCAGTAGTATCTACCAATAATAATCAAATAGTAAACTAATACTGTGTATGAGTTCAAAGGAGAATTATTATTCTAAAGAAGCAGGAAATAGACTAGCATGCCATAGTCTTAGGGGAAACGGTGACAAAGAAAATGTTATAAAACTTGTTGCCTCTTGGATATTAGCTAGAATGCCAATAGAATAGTAATCCTGCTTAGGGAGTATAAATTAGATGCTGAATGGATAAGTTTGGGGAGATGGGTTCCAGTGTTCAGTTTCGATTATAATTATAAAGGCAAAAATGAGAAGTCAAATACTGTGATTACATAAATGGCTAAAGGCAGTGTAACTGCACCCTTTTTTACCGGTACAAAATGTGCCCAGGCTTGACAAGTCTGTATCTGGAATACTTGAGTGGTTTTTACCGGACTGTGAAATGAATGAGGACTAGAAGGGATATCTGCAGTTTTCATTAATGGAGTTGGTTCTTTTTCACAAGTTGGATTACAATGAGAGAATGAGCTGAACAGAAGGAAAACAACTTGGTTGTTAATAAAATTAATCCGAAGTTTAAGTGTGGAGTTGGACGTTGACACTGAGAAAATGTCCTCCTTGCTAACAACTCCTACACTTTTTTAAAAATGACCTCACAACCCAATGTTAGATGATTAGACTCATAAAGTTGGAGTGCACTAAAATGATGAAACCTGGTTTTTAAATTAGTAGATGACTGAAATGCATGTTAAAACGAATTAAAAAACCCTCAGTGAACAACAGCTTCAGGATAGCCCTATGAAAATGTGCTTGCTGTAGATGAAAACTATATTTAGTATAAGCTAAAGTCTTCTGAGGTTCCTTAAAGAATCTCAAAGCAAGGGATATGAACAAAGATCTGAATCTGGCGTGTAGATCTCAGAAGTCATCTTTTTCTTAACTGCCTTTAGGGGATGTTAGCAAAGCTTAGGATAAATGAAATAGAACTTTTAGTTTGCTCCTTTATGACCAGGCAGAATTGGCAGAAACTGTTCCTGTAGTCTCATAACTGCAAGTTGGAATACAAGTAGCTGATGGTGTGTCTGGGTTTTCTGTTTCCCTCCTTCCAGGAGAGAAAATCCAGAAAAAATAAGAATTACCAAAATGGCTGTTTATATATCTCAGGCAAATAGACTCTTGGATATGAATAGTGAAAAATCCATCAAAAATACACCATAGGGGGAAAAAAGATTTCCTGTTGTCAAATTCTGTAAGGTGTTTAGTTATCTCTTATAGTACTTGGAGTTAGTGCCTTTAAAGAGATAAAGTTGCAATTACTTTCACTTTAGACTTCAGCAGAGAAAGATTTTGACACATCTTTGAGAAATATCGATAATCAGGAAGAAAGAACTTCAGGCAGTTGTGCCTTTATAGAAGGAAGTGGGAAAGTTCATCGTGTTTGTAGAAATGACTTTGTATGGAACAAAAGAAACTGTTCACAAAGCAGCTACTTGGAATTTATGTCAAGGAAAAAGGAGAGAGTAATAAAATTTCTCCCTTACAAAACACGATGCATGGATTAATTATAAACTCTAGAAACAATTCAGCTAGTTTTTTGATGACAGAATTACAAGGCAGTGCATGAGGTTATTTTGACTACCAGTATAGTTTTGTGTTCTTATGCAACGTCTTATTTTGGTTTTCTAAAAGCATGCTTGATTATGCATAATAAGAGAACTGTGAAGGAATTTTTTTTTTGATATTACACTTATTGTGTAAGTTAGTATTACATCGTGGCGATCAGAGATAAGGTGGCATTTTAACCTACATGGGTTCAGTAGAAGACTAATGTATTGTCATGGCTTCCTGCTTTGAAGTTGTCCTTTCTCCTGACTAAAACTAGTCATACAAATATATTTTTGGAACAAAATGGTTTTAGTGAGGATGAATTGATGGAGGGATCAAACCTGTGTGCTCCATGTAGGTTTATAGGGAGAATTTCTGGACTGTGGCATGCCAAAGTTTTTCCAGACTAATACAGTCAATGTAAATATTAAACCTGACTATCTGAAGTAAACATGTTTTAATACCAGGTTGCATGTTCCTTGTATTTCAGGCCATAACTTCTGTGCCGAGGGACACAGATGTGGTGAAAATTCAGAGTGCAAAAACTGGAACACAAAAGCCACTTGTGAATGCAAGAATGGTTATCTTTCTGTCCAAGGGGACTCTGCGTATTGTGAAGGTAAACAAAATGTTCAAAGACCTGTCCCTTTAACAACCAGCTCGGAAAGATAGTATTAAATAAATGGTTGATGAATGAATTTCATTGCAAAGTTCAGTTTCATGATGGTGAATATCACAAGGGCCCTTTTTGCGTTCATAAAGATGGATTGAAGATTACAAGCACCGCTGGACCATTCAGATTACCTATCTATGGGCATACTTCATGGTTGCAGTTGTGCCTTGGCACACCACGGTCATGCTGTCATTACAAGTTTTAAAATACCATTTTTCAGACAGTAGCACCTGCCTTCTAAAATTGTTGTTAGAGAACAACATCTTTATAAGATGCATTAATTTAGGAAGTGGGAATTCTGCTGACATTTGTGAGAAAGGTAAGTGTGAAGGTGTGCTGAGGCTTGAATATAGAAATGAAGATCGGCAGTCCTTCCTGAAGTACTTCTGTGGGCCAGAAAGGAAACCATTACTGAAATGGTTTTCCTATGTTACAGAAGAGACCTATTTCTTAGAAGAGTGTAGCTGAGGTACTTCTCTTGATGTATTATTCCATCACAGGAACAAATGCAATGGGGCATTATTCTCCTTTTTGTTTCTCAGTGTTTTCTAGAGCTTGCTGATATTTGTCACTGTGATATACTTATTAAAAACTAAATTGATGAATCAACATATACCACATTCCTTCTTGCCTTTGCTATTGCGGGTTTTGGTTCGGGTTTTTTTTTTTTTTAATGACCTTGTATGACAGGCTGCAATATTTAATCTTTTGGCCATCATAGTAAGTTTTTGAACTACTTTGTAAAAAATATTCCCTTAGATGCTTTTTCCAATAGCATTGGTGATGGAAGGGAGATGGCATTTTTGACAGGCTGTTAAAATATACTATAAGAGTTGAAAGACAGGATGAAAGAATGAGAGACATGCATGGACTGGGCTTAAATGATGCTGCTTCCATAAAGAGACTTTTTAGTGTATGTAAGTGAACAGGACTGCTTTATAAAGCTGTTTGGTAAATTGCAACTATAAATCTTATGGTGTTTAGTCAGTTTTCTACAAACAAAAAATTGCATGGTCCTATATATGCACTTTCAGCGCACATTTCTTTTTAAAGGTAGGCACCAGATATACTGTATATAGAGAAACTTTTTTGTACAAAAAACTGTGAGAAGATCTCTATACGTACTGCAGGGACTACTCAGAAATCAGAAGACTGTAACAAGGCTCTTTATCAGCTATAATATAGCACCCAGTATTTGTTCTTTTTTGCTGTTTTAAATAAAATCGCTGCTTAGTGTTTTTATTTACCTAGTAGCAGACTGTTCCTTTTTTGCTCTATGGAAAAAATTTAAACGTCTTGACCCAAATAATTTTGGAGATGTTGGCAGCGCATTAGTTGTAGTAGTGGGGAAAGAAAGAGCTTTTTGAAGAAACTGTGAGAATTACAACATATCTGGTCTATGTTGCGTTAAATTTTGGAAGAGCAAATCAAATCCCTGACTTGTGTGCACGTGGGTGAAACATGAGGCAACAGAACAATCACAGCTGCTTTTGTTCCCTGGGATATGGTGAGGGGTGCTTTCTGCATGTAATGAAATTTTAAATGTGCTAGATGGAGAGTAGTTCTTAGGAGTAACGTAGAGAGGAGAATGCCCTTTAGCAAGGGGAACTGCAGACTGAAGAATCGATTAGCTAAGAGGTGACTCCTTTCAGCCCTGTGAAGTTTCCTTTTACTCGTCAGAACTGCTTTCTGCAAAATTTCTTTCTATGCCTCTCTAACCTCATTTCTCTCATCCATGTGTTTAATTGCTAAATAGAATAATTTCATAGTTGGCTGTATAACATTCTCAAATGCATGGTGAAGTTGTGATTTAAATGAGGTCAAAGGCGTGTAGCTGAAGGTACAATTTGGCACGATGTTGGTATAGCATAGGGGTGGATTTTTTTTTGTAGAGTTTTGGTTTTCTGTGTAAGAATGAAATACGCAAAACACCTGAACAGCAAGTAGTAACCGTACAAAACACCTGTGGAAGCAAGGAAGATACCATTCTCAGCTGTAGTTCTGAATTTATCTTCATCATTCCTAAGCCTTTAAACTTAAAAGACATGTAAGATTACTGTTTCCTTTGAGATGTGAGGTTAAACAATTTCATACTCATGATGTGTGCTGGTAAGTGGAACCTTAGTTCAGAGCAGTCCAGATGATTAACTTGGAGCTCTCAGTATTTCTCCTTTCTTCCAGTGTATGTGAAGTACTTGTGCATGGGAATTCTGTTGTGTGGTATTATTTTAGCTTACCTATGTTTTTGCTGTTATTTCTGTTCGCTCTTATTCACATAGCTTTATCCTGCTGGACCTTATGGCATCATTTTGATCTTGTAAGATCTCTGAATAATTGTGTTTGAGTCTGCTTTGCTTTTTGACATGTATTTGTGGGGTTTTTTAAACATTCCATATTCACTTTTGTAGTACGGTGGAAAAAATAAAAAGATTCTGACTTCTGTCAGAGAATTAGTGTCAGCAAATTTGTAAAATAAATAACAAGAACCTGAGAGGCTTTTATTATTCATTCTCAGTAACTACTTTTCAAGTAGTTAGCAGCTCTTCATGTGAAAATATACATGTAGGATAACCATCATATGATGCATTCCATTTTTGAAAGAACATAGATGTGTTTAGGGAAGACAGTTCCTGAAAATAAACAAGTAAATGAAGCTTGTAATGAATGATGGAGATAAGTGGAGATTCTCTGTGTTCTGTAAAAGCCATGTATTTCACTTAACAGAGAAGTTGGATTTTTTTATTTGACATTTGCCTGCTTGTCCTGCATATATGAGACATAATTGAGCATTCATCATTTGCAGAGAGACGTATAGAGATATTTCTATTAATCATGTTGACTGAGGTTTAACTACTGATGGGGAGATGGGGATATTTAGGCACAAGTGTTGAACCAATGCCCATTTATTTCTGTCACATATGCGTGGATACGTTCTGGGAACCACACAAGTAGCTAGCAAGTCCGGTGTCTGCAGGACGCAGGCGTTCAAGTTGTAGCAGAGCGTGCACACTTGCAGCTATGACTTTTTAGCACGTGACAGGTGAGAACCTGTAGTGAGGGCTGAAAGTTGCATACATGAGAGTTAGTTGCAGATGGTGCAGCAGTTCAGTGGCAAAACCGGGACCGAAATAGGGAATTCGAGTCTGTCTCATGCTGATTCTTCCAGACACATTATTTGATGTGTACAGCAGACGTACAAATACTCTGTCGGTACTCTTCCCATTTTTGTCCTGATAGAATGCTCTAGAAACACTCGTGACTTTCTTTCAGAAGGAACTTGCCTAAGTCACTCTTTTGCTCCAAACACGTTATCTTAATTTGTTGTTAACAAATTATCACTAATTTTAAAAAAAAAAAGGTCACATAAGCTATGAAACACTAGCCAAATTTAGGAAACCCGCTCATTTTGTAACGCTGGGAAGAGTTACGATGATTTTTACTGGGCTGGCAGATTTTGAAGAGATGGCACAAAGGTGAATCAAAGCTTTGAGAGAAAACTGAGTGCTCACTTGCCCCAAGCATGCATCCTGGACGGACCAGGCAAACTGTTCGCCTGATATGCCATACCACTCTGTGGTAGCTTCTGCTCCCTTGCTAGGCATCCAGGCTCCCCCTAACTATTCAGGGGTTTTATTTATTTATTTATTTATTTGGCCTATTTTAGGTATTTTAATGTAGAGCTCTGCAAGTTAGTTATCTCAGCATTTGAGCTTGTAATGCAAGAGATCCCATTCTTACTTATCTTAGGTTTATAGAGTAATATTGTTTCCCAACACAGGAGTGTTGGTTAACTTACGTACATAAGGCTATCAAGCTCTCAACCTGAGAGAGAGTAAGCTTGGAACCTCAGGATTCTGCTGCTAGTTATTTGAAAAATAAACCCATGTTTAATTTCCTTGTAATTTTCAAGTATGTTCCAGACACATACAGTGGTCTTTACTGCTGGCTGTTTCTTCTCCTTTCAACTTGATGATGTCGGATGTAGTCAGGAAATTCTTTACAGAAAGACAGATACGTAAATATGTTGAAAAAATCCATTCTGAACATAGTTACATTAAGGTAGGTTTGGTAAGAAAATGTGTTTTCTGAAAGTCGTAGAGAAAAAAAAATTGTGAAATGCAGAGGAAAAAGGTGGTTTTTACCATTGTCACAGAAATGAGGAAAAATTAGCCTTTTAAGGTTAATGTAGTTCCACATGCAAAGACCTCACTATCAGCATGCTTTAATGAAAAACAATAATAAAAGTTTACTTCTGTTGGAAAACACAAAGGAACAAGAAAATCTTTCATCATACAGTGTGGCTTCTGTTATGGTTCTGAAGATAAGAGCACTTCATAAAACTTACCTTTAATGTTTAATCCTTTGACTCATCACATCCTGTATGTAAATAGCTGTTTATTGTGCAGAACTTTTCACAAACTTTTTTTCAGTTTAAACTGAAAAACAATAAATCCAGTCCTGCATATGGCCTTCAGAGTAAAAGTCTGCTGGCAATTCACTGAGTTTCCACAGCTCATGGTTTTTTCTTGCTGTATAAAATAAGTTGAATTTTGTTCAATTTCCCCCTCCTCCTCTGTAGTGATTTCATTGCAGCTGTTCTAATTTCACTGCGTTGTGGCTTGGGAGGTGACATTAACATTATGTGGTATCATATAAACCTTCTGTGTGGCAGTGATGTATGACTGTGGTTTTGGATGGTGTCCATTGACTTGACTTCTGGGTCAGCTTTTAATGATGATCCTTCTGTTTGTTGTACTCCTAAAAAACCTGCTTCACAAGATGTCTGTATTTCCTGCAGTCGCTATTCACTGTATACTATAATAAGTTTATGTCCTGTGCTGCGTAGATGTACATATATGCATAACTGTACATACGGAATACTTCATGAAATTGACTAAAGTAAAGAAAATGGGACAATTATTGATGGCAAATGACTGTATTCATTG